CAACAATCCCAGAGGGTTACATTCCCCTTACGCTGCATCGCAAACGTGATTAATTGGATAAGACTGAATCTTTCCCAAATAATATCATTACATTTTGTTGAAATTACTTGAATCAATGGAGTAAATGAGAGGTGCTTGAACATTTGGGACTTGGGATAATTAATTACTTAAATTGTGGCAAAGTCTATGTAGAAATTTGATCATATTGAATTTCGTTCTTCCTTCAACAATAAAGGCTGAAGTCAATAAATTGTAGCTCACTGGTATTAGAGTTTCATTTGTCTTAAAAATTCTTGAGTTTGAACCTCTTCTATATATAATAAAAAAACCAAGAAAACTTGGAATTTGTTTTGTTAATTATGATCTCTTTTGTATCCCAATTAACGACTGATCTCTTATCAATAAATGAGCAACATCGTCTGCGTGTCTTTGAAGTTATTTTGCATGATGTTGTTCTCATTTTATACCTCTGTTGCCATCTTCTTCCTCGTTGTTAATTTTTCCTTTTACCATAATAATTAAAACTTGATCAGATTCTTTAAAAAAAAAACAAATTCAGATGTTTATTGCTGTAAATTGTTGCTGCAGTTTGATGGATTACCTAACGTGATTAATTGGATAAGACCAGGTTTTCTTTGTCAAAGAATATCCTCACATTTGTTTGAAATTATATAAGACCAAATTTCGTTCAAATTGTGGGCATGCTTTGAACAACAAAGGTTGAAAGAGTTAGATATCTTCGGGTTAATTATTTCTTTGTACCCCAACGACTGATGTAATAAATAAATTAGCCATCTTGTCAATAAATTAGAAAGATGTTCATGTCCTAGGTTTTCAGGAATTTTATTTTTTCAATTGGCTGAATTATAAGAATGATTTATTTATATTTATTTTTATGCATTCCAGTGCTTAGCCTAGTGGTAGAAAAGACTTGTCTTTTTTTACTGTATCTGGGTTCGAGTCTTAACATGCACGTCTGTCATCCCCGTGGTGCCTTACATGCCTACTGGGTTTGCAGAATATTCAGTGGACTGTGAGAATTAGTCGTGATGCGTGTAAACTGACCGAACACCCCACATGAATAAAAAAAAAAAACTCTAATATCGTATAATAATATAGATAATATAGATTGCACAGCATGTCTCTCGTCTCTATTCATTCAAGTTATAGCGCGCGCGTGTGTGTATACTCCAAGTTACAAGCTGAATTAGTGCCCTTGATTAGGGGCTAAAGAAGGAAAGAGATATTAAAGGATATGGGTCAAATATTTACATGGTAATAACAAGAATTTACTAGATATTAAAAAAAAAAATGTATGTCGACAAGAGCTCCATGATGTATGCATGAGAATCAGCTGGTCCATGATATATGCAGATCTCTATTAAATCCATCACTGCTTATTTAAAAAGACTCTGATATCATATAATAATATAGATTGCAAAGCATGTCTCTCGTCTCTATTCATTCAAGTTATAGCGCGCGCGTGTGTGTATACTCCAAGTTACAAGCTGAATTAGTGCCCTTGATTAGGGGCTTAAGAAGGAAAGAGATACTAAAGGATATGGGTCAAATATTTACATGGTAATGACTAGAATTTACTAGATATTAAAAAAAAAAATGTATGTAGACAAGAGCTGCATGATGTATGCATGAGAATCAGCTGGTCCATGATACATGCAGAATCAAATCCAATATTCCCAGCTTATACCTGTAGCCATATTCTTTGGTACCTTTTTTTTACCTCTATAAATTTATTTTAATGAATGAATTTTGTTCCTACATGCATGTAATTGAGAAGAAAACCAGCGATGGAGTGGGTGCATGTTGATGCCTTCCTCTTCTGCACGACAGCATCTTTTTCATTGAACATGCAACCCTCCGCAGGTTCATCGCATGATTATTCCTATTTTTTTCAAAAAATAAAAAATTCAAGCACATGTATGAATTCACATCAAATCTTACTAGCTAGTAGCAGTATTATTGTTTTGACTAGCCCTCTAATGACAATCGAAATATAGCATTTAATTACAATTTGAGCATGTTTTTTTCATCCAAATGTGAATCCGGGCTAGTGTGCCTCGTTTGATAGCTTGCTCAAACAGATGATCCGATCCCTTCATGTATAATGACTCCACCCAATGTTTCATAGTTAAAAGCTTCTAATAATGTGGCCCAAAGAGTAGCAAAAAGCTAATATGTTTTCAACTTTCTCTCACGTTACGTCTCTATACAAATTCTTCTTCAATTATATATTCTCTTGCAAGAGATTAAGACAACAACATGCCTGCGCAGTCCCCAAACGGGTCCCCTGTGAATTATATACCGACACAAAGATGAAACTGGATAAATACAACTGGACTTCTTTTTTCTTTCAATGAAATCTGGTACGACAGCTAGCCCCATGCACTATAAATAGCTCACCATGTCTTGGTCTAAAGAACCATACATAAACATAAAACCAATTCCTCATAGAGTCCCAATTTCAAAAAATTTGCAGAAATATATACTTTATTCTTGTTATAGCCATGTTGAGATTGATTGGAAGCTTGAGCTTTATATGGCTACTCATGGCCACATCCACAATGGCTCAAACCTGGCCTCCTGTTCTTGATGCAGATGGCCAACCTCTTAGAAGTGGTGTAGAATACTACGTACTTCCAGCCGCAACTGATGTTGCCGGTGGCTTAACCCTTGTTAATCTTAACAACGGTTCAATATGTCCACTCTTTGTTGGGCAAGAGCCTCTTGCACCTGTTGTGTCCCCAGGCACTTCAGTCATATTCACACCACGGGTCGCGGATACTGTTATAAGGGAGACAAGGGACTTCACTGTTGCTTTCACTGGTCCAACAATTTGTGCTCAGTCTACTGCATGGATGGTAGGTGAGCAGAATCCAGAGACACGGAGGAGGTATATCTTGGCTGAAATGGATCCTAGTCCATCTTCTAATGCTTGGCACTTCAACATCGTCAAGAATGATCAAGGCCTCTACAATTTTCAATGGTGTCCAAATTGTCTCACCGGAGTTTGTCCCAAGCCTTTGTGTGGGGATGCTGGTATTGTGGTTGAGAATGAAAGGAGATTGCTGGTCTTGGATGGTCCCGCCTTTCCTTTCATATTTAGAAGGGCTTGAATAGTTTGTAATAGCCTCCATGTGTCAAGAATAATCAATGACATCTTGTCGATGCATTGCTAATTATAAAAATAAATGGAGATATATAATTCTTGACTGATTGAATATATAGCTTGGGCAATAAATAAAGGCTTTTGAGTTTTCATGTATATGATAAATATATAATTACTAATGCTTACTGTTGTTAAATTATGGTAAAATCAGTATGAGGTATATCTAAATCTCTTTACACACGAGTGTATGTATATATTAGATGTACTTCTTGACATGATCTATGAGTGAATAACTACTCTCCAAAGCTAAATCACGAAGAAAAAATTGTTAGCTTGAATTTTTTTTATGATCACACGCTTACATCTAAGTTAAGAAATACTAGTAGGATTCAAATAAAAGATGTACTCTACCTCTCATATATCTAAATGATTTCTTCCTTAAAATAATATTTAATTCATTAATTTTATTTTCCTGTGAGGGCTGAGACTATTGTACATGATTAGGATGAAGCTCGTATGCAAATTGTGCTTGTAAATTCATCTCAAAACTTCAATTATTGCACATGTATAATTAGGACCAGATTGCACATCCTTGTCTTGTTTGGGGATCGGATTTTGTAGGATGAAGCTCGTATGCAAATTGTGCTTATAAATTCATCTCAAAACTTCAATTGTTGCACACGTATAATTAGGACCAGATTGCACATGCTTGTCTTGTTTGGGGATCGGATTTTGCAGCAGCCATGAAATCATGTTAGAAGGGCAGCATATGCCAAACTAATGATTGAATTTTTTCTCTTGCCAAGTTGACTGGGAGGAACTGCTCCAACAAACATGGGCCCGACGAGGATATGGATCTGACCTTTGATAACGTGCCCAAATGGATAACTTCTATCGTGAGTCAATTATGGCGGCCCCAATGAGAAACTTCTTACCTGGTCAGTTAAAGTGGCCCAATACAGCAATTTGGCCCAAATACGAAATCTGAATTGGTTTTGTTACAAGTTCCTACCACCTCACCAGAATTAGCCGAGCACAAACATGATAAAGCAACAGATTTCGAATCATACAGCATATGAGTAATTCTTTCCCATTACATGATTGCAGATGAGAAAGAGGACTCGTTAAAAAGACTCTAACTTTATAGCAAGCCACGAATATACAGTTGTTAGATTAAGTATACCATTTTTTAATTAAAAAAACTAAGTTTTGGCATTAATTAGTTGTTATTAAATTTGCCTGAACTAATGGGTTGCATGAGATTTGAGATTTGATCCAAAATGATTTTTTAATTGAACCAATAAGATATTAATTTGGTCAAACTTGATACACCTGACTAAATTTTTTGTGATCTAATTGATTTAGTCAAATCTAATCTAAATTTACATAAAAAAAAAAAAGAAGTTATTTTTAATAAAAATAGTTGATTTATGTTAGATCTGGTAATCCTTGATAACTCAATAATTTAAGTTTTTCTCAGAAATATATATGTTTTAATATAAACCAGCTCAGATTTCGTAATTCTCATATAAAAGATGGAGGACTCTACTCTACATTCATAGCAAAGATTTTTTGGACTTCCTAATAATATAATAACAACATTAATAATAATAAACAGAAAACGATTACATTTAGGCTGTGCTGGGAGACGTTTTCTCTCTATCTCTTACGCTACTCCTCATCAGAAATTCAACTTGGAATTCCTACTTTACTGTCATGCATGTACAGACAGGATAGGGTTATCTCGATCGTTCAAACAACAATAATTACGCTACTAGATATGGACTTTTCGTTGCCGTGCCTCCATTGTTCAAATCTTGTAAACTGCCGCATGCCACGTGTGTGTACCACATTTCCTATAAATATCTAGCCCGCATATTACTCAGTTTCTTACCAAGTTCTTCAGTTTCTAAGCACAAACAGCACAGTACTGTTTTCTTGTAATGTTGAGGCTGATTGGAAGTTTAAGCTTCTTATGGCTACTAATGGTCATATCCACTATGGCTCAAAGCCCTCCTGTGCTTGATATTGGAGGTGAATCTCTTAGAAGCGGTGTAGAATACCTTGCAGACCCTGCTGTGGCTGATGTTGCCGGTAGTTTAACTCTAGTGGCTCGCAATGGATCTTGCCCGTTTTATGTTGGTCAAGAATCTGCTAGATCCGGTCGAATAGGCATTCCAGTCATCTTTACACCAAGAAATCCTCAAGAGACTATCATCACTGAATCTACAGAGGTCACTGTTACATTTTCAGGGGTTTCAACTTGTGTTGGAAACACTGCATGGACTATAGGTGGCGAAGATCCACAGACGAGAAGGAGATTTGTTGTGACTGGAGCTGAACCATCCTACTTTCAAATTAACAGCAGGAGACTAGGAGGTTCCTATACTTTCCGAGGGTGCCCACAATGCGTCGACGAACCAGATTGTGATAGGCCAACGTGTGGAACTGCTGGTATTCTGATTCAAAATGGAACGAGATTTTTAGTCCTAGATGGTCCTGAGTTTACTTTTATGTTTGTAAGGGTTAATTAGGTTCATTCTCCATAACAAAAATAAATATATAGATATGGCATTTTGTCATTGTAATAAAATCAAGCCTTTCATGTTTAGAAGGGCACAAGTTGCTGATTATCCTCAGCAAATAAATGGAGATCTTTCTTTCCTTGTGTCATTTTGAATTGTGTGTTTGAGCATTGAGAATTTTAGACTTTTAGTATCTTCGTGGCTTTTGTTGAGATACGAGAAGGATTCCTAGATAAAGTAGGAATCCTAATCTTAATGTATTTATGTTTAGAATTCTTAAAATAGTGTTTAAAATCCTTGTTAGAATAGAATAATTTAACTTTATCCTATGATCTCTCTACGATAATTAGGGTATCAGAGCATTGGTAGATTAAAGAAAGCATGACAACAAGCTCAACCAATCAAAGTACAGGTCTATTAAGGAGAGCACGACAACAAAGAAATTAATTTGAAAGCAAGGAAATTAATTTCAACCAAGCTTGGTAATTACCAGGCCTCTCTTTGTACGGCCTTCCCTTCTTTATACATGCTGCTCAAAAAGAGATCAAAGATCTTAGATAAGGCCACGTGGAAGTTTTTTTTAAGGAAAATGAAGAGTGGCCAACTCAAGATAAGGTGAAAGAAATGTCAAAATAATTAGTTTATTATTTGTCACTAGGCAAAATTAAATGGACTCTAATCTACCTAAAAAAATATTATTTAGAGAAATAAAGCTAAATGCAATGTGTAATGGAAACATCATGTATTATAACCAACAGAAAATATTATCAAAAAAATTAAAACTTAATAACTTTTATTTTGCACAAGTTAAGAAATATTTGTGCTCGTCATTTGTCAACGTACGAAAACAAAACATACTCCGCAGAGCAAAACTGTCTTAAAAGATCTGGTTCCAACAATCATAGACAACTTATTTGCACTCAAGAAGGCCTTCGTTTAGAAGATAAAAGAAAAGGAATCACGCGATGCTAAGATCCTTGAGAGGATTGTGGAGATAAGAGAAGAGTTCCTATATCAAGTAGGAGAGGATTGTTGACATAGGAAAATGATTCCAAGTTCAATTAGTAATTCTGGTCTAAAAAGATTTATATTCGGAATCCTTATTAAACTAGCATTTAGAATTTTAGTTAGAATATGATAGTTTGAGTTTATTAATATATAATATTCCAGGATCATGTATCTATGTATATATATATATTAATTATTATATCTATATTGAAGAGTATGAGATATGGAATTCTTGAGTGTTTTGTGTACGTTTGCAGGAGCTTATTCATTGTTTTTATCGGTCAAGTTTAGTATATTTTCATGGCATATCTTACTATATATATATATATATATATTAATTATTATATCTATATTGAAGAGTATGAGATATGGAATTCTTGAGTGTTTTGTGTACGTTTGCAGGGGCTTATTCATTGTTTTTATCGGCCAAGTTTAGTATATTTTCATTGCATATCTTACTATATATATATATATTTAAAGACAAACAAACAACTACAAATTAATGCGATATGCATTTTATAATAAATTTATTGATTAGAGGAAACGCAAGACACGAGAGAGAACATCGATGAATTCTAATTCCAAATTGCAGTGAAAGAAAAGTTTCGATAACAAAAATAGTATGCCAACTTAGGAGCTAGAATTTTATAATATATGATTTGGAGGTACTATTTTTAAAGGATGTTGTCGTCTATGAATTTTTTAGGCTGTTATCTATATATCACGTGTTAGAAAATTTATCTAGAAGTTCATGAATTTGAGGGAGCATGCATCGTCATGGAAAGCGTGTTGGTGTGTAGTATAATTTTGAGAAGTAATGCTGAGTCAAATATGAAGATAAGCCTCTCCCTTCACAATTTGGCCAAAAGTATTAAATTTATTTCTCGATTGAAATTCGTTCCCAAGTACAAAACCCCCCATTGACTTTGTGCATGATGGATTTCTTGCAAGACTTCATCGCCTAATTGGCTACTATTTGGTAGACTAACACATTTAGCCAGTACCGAGCAAATTATACATCATAAATGGCGGTAGAGGGTTGGGTTAAGAGCTAGCAATGGACTCATTAGAGCCATATTTCACGTAGAAGGGATAGATTTGACCTAATTAATAGTCATTTTATCATTGTCTATCATTCTACTTATCTTTTCAGAAATTGAAACTTCAAATATCTGATTTTTTTTGCTATCCATTTACACGTAATTAAAGAGTAGGATGCAAAGGTTTATCAAGTCGGTAAAAGCAGTAATTGATTAGGATAGACAAATGGACTTTTCGTTGGCGTGCATACTTTGTGATATCTTGTAGAAAAGTCGCATGCCTGCCTGTGCCAGATTTCCTATAAAAATCTAGCTACCATGCACAGACCACAAAGTGCAAAGACATAACAATTACACAATTTCTTATCAAGTTCAAGGTTGATAACTAAGCTCGTACAATTTAATTTTGTTGTTTGACACAGGAAGCCATGTTGGGGTTGATTAGAGGTTTGAGCTTCATTTGTCTACTGATGGCTGTATCATGCTTGGCTCAGGGCCCTCCTGTGCTTGATACTGATGGAAACCCTGTTACAAGAGGGGTAGAATACTATGTAGATCCTGCTGTAACTGATGTTGCTGGTGGCTTAACTCTAGTGACTCGCAATGGATCTTGTCCGTCTTATGTTGGTCAGGTTCCTATTGGACCTGGTAATGTTCAAGGCCTTCCAGTCATCTTCACCCCAAGAAATCCTGGAGAGACTGTCATCACTGAAAATACTCAATTCACTGTTGCATTTTCAGCTGCTTCGACTTGTGTTTCAGATACTACATGGGGTATAGGCGAGGAAGACCCAGAGACGACAAGTAGACTTATTGTGATTGGTGATGAACCAGCCATCTTTAGTATTAGCCGTAATCAAGCACCTGGTCCCTATACTTTTGGCTATTGCCCCGAATGCAACACTCCTCCACCTTGTGGGAGGCCAAGATGTGGGATTGCAGGTATTCTGGAACAGAATGGAACGAGGTTCTTAACCATAGATGGCCCTGCATTTCCTTTCAGCTTTAGAAGGGCTTAGGCTCTTCTCCTTTGCAAAATATAAGTAGATGACGTTCTGGCATTGTAATAGTACAAATAAATCATTTTATATTTAGAAGCGCTTAAGTTATTCTCCATAGAAGAATAAGTGTCTTGTTGTCATTGTATATCAGGAATACAAATGGAGATCTTTATTGATGCTTAGAATTCAATTTAGTTATCTTATATGTATAAAAGAATAAGCATAACAACACCTGTGATGAACTTAAAGAGAAAAATTGCAAACACCATGACCGATATAAAAAATCTTTGGAGCTGTGATACTATAAACCAACAAAGACATTCAGAACTGTGAATCAAAACTGAAGCATAGAAGGAAGGCAGTATTAAGCACAAAAAAACTCCACAATATATTGGAGACACCACATCACGACATGGGTTGGATCCAAGCCACAAAACTACATATTCTATTCACACCGAGTTTTGCAAAGTTATCGGCTATATAATTAGCTTTATGCAAAACATGATAGAAAGATAAAGAGTTCAATTATAAGGAGAAACGAGATGTACGTAAGATAAAAAAGTTTATGCAATCTTCATGGTCTACTAGATTATTTGTTTATCCAATTATAATCAGATTGAAAGATGAAATTTCTTTAAGAAAAATCCTCCTATGAACAAGATAATTCAAGCACTTTAATAACAACAAGCAAATATTGAGCCTCATTTAAATTCTTAATTCCCACATGTGCAGATAAATAACTCATCACAAAGTCACTGTGGTCATGAAGAACCCCTCCATTAACAGTAGGACCACGTTTGCCAAAAGAAAAACCATCAACATTCCACTTTAGTGTACATAGTTCAGGTGGATATCATGAAATGGAAGGTATAGAACACTTGGTATTTGACGATCAAACGAAATCACTCGCTGAAATTAATAACTAAATTCTAGTACTTGAATTAAAAACATAATCAAATAATTCAATTTAGTTATCTATCTTTGCTGTTGTGCTCTGATTAGAGAATTATCTTTATGGAATGGGAATGATTGCTTAATTACTTCTCTCCAACAACAAACATTAGGAGTAGATATAAGTTAAGGGAAACATGTTTTTGTTTTAGTAGGAAACGTGGGAGGATCCGCATTGAAAAGAGAATCTAAAATAGTAAGTTTTTTTTTTTGGATAATCATCGAAAATATATTAAACATGCCATATAATGAATAGCCAAAGCAATATACTCTAAAATAGCAGGTATATATAAGTTAAAATCTTGCTAATGTTTCAAGACTTCGAAACATTGCCAAACAATGCAAAGATTTAACGAAGTTATTGCGAAATTCCTTGCAAATTAATCAACTAATTTCTAGCTGTGAGATCACTAGAGGAGCATTAAGAAACTGCACAAAGTGCAAAATCGTAGAACGTTGCTAGAAACTTCAAGACATTAATATAGTTATTCTTGGGTTGGACTAGTAATCTGAAAAGGATTGTTTAACTGTAGCAAGAACATAAAGAGTTGAGTATTCCTCATTGTCTGATAATTTCTAGCGGTAAAACTAGGAATTGTTCAAAATGAATAGTATGCTCCAACCAACCCTTGTTTTATTGTCTTTAATTAATTAATTGGATAATTAAGACAACACAGACTTTTCTTTAGCATATCCACACACATGATATTGAAAGTAGACGATTTTTTGGGAAATTCAATTGCTTTAATTGTGGGTATAGTCTAGAAATTTGGTCAAACTGAAGATTCAAATCCTTTATGGATTTGATCGATAATTTACGAATTGTAGAAATTTTTTCTTCTTCAAAAAACTCCAACTATGTGAAGGAGTTAATAATGACTTTGTAGGTACTAGCATTTTCCTGTTACCTAGTTCTTGATAATGAACCAGCTCAAAGAATTTGGAAGCGATCATTAATTTTGTTCCGGTTGTGAATAGGAGTTATCCTCCTTCGATTACTTGCTCCAACAGATCTCTTCATAATTAGTCCACCCATGAGACAATATCCCTAAGCTTATAATCATTAAGAAGCATTAAATAACTCTCAAGTGTATTAAAGACACCGTTAGCTGGATTCATTAATTAGATAACAACGCAACAGGTGAGGATGGATAATTACCCAAGGACTTTTTTGTTGCCGTGCCGTAATAGAGAAATGTGGTATGTCGAATCCTTCCACTATTAAAAGATGGCAAATCTCAAGCAAAGGATGAAAAGAAGGATTACCAATTGCTCATAGCGTCTTAATTTTAAGAACCAGCACATATAATATTTACTTCTTTTTTGTTGTGCGAGGTAGCTAGCTCTAGGCAGCCATGTTGAGATTGATTGGAAGCTTGAGCTTTATATGGCTACTCATGGCCACATCCACAATGGCTCAAACCTGGCCTCCTCCTGTGCTTGATGCAGATGGCCAACCTCTTAGAAGTGGTGTAGAATACTACGTACTTCCAGCTGTAACTGATTTAGCCGGTGGCTTAACCCTTGTTAATCTTAACAACGGTTCAATATGTCCACTCTTTGTTGGGCAAGAGCCTCTTGCACCTGTTGTGTCCCCAGGCACTTCAGTCATATTCACACCACGGGTCGCGGATACTGTTATAAGGGAGACAAGGGACTTCACTGTTGCTTTCACTGGTCCAACAATTTGTCAGTCTACTGCATGGATGGTAGGTGAGCAGAATCCAGAGACAAGTACGAGGTATATCTTGGCTGAAACGGATCCTAATCCTTCTTCTAATGCTTGGCACTTCAACATCGTCAAGAATGATCTAGGCCTCTACAATTTTCAATGGTGTCCAAATTGTCTCACGGAAGTTTGTCCTAGGCCTTTGTGTGGGGATGCTGGTATTGTGGTTGAGAATGAAAGGAGATTGCTGGTCTTGGATGGTCCCGCCTTTCCTTTTATATTTAGAAGGGCTTGAATAGTTTGCAATAGTCTCCATGTGTCAAGAATAATCAATGACATCTTGTCAATGTATTGGTAATTGTACAAATAAATGGAGATCTTTAATCCCTGGCTGATTAAATATATAGCATGGGTAATAAATAAAGGCTTTCGATGTTTATGATAATTGTTGCGAGTGCACCGGGACGTCGTCGTGCTATGGCAAAGCTTTTATTGTGACTGAGAAAGTAATTATGATTATGATTTAAAATTTATTATTTAGTATTATGATTATTAAAAATTTATAATTTATAAAAGTTTGAGTAAGGAATTGGTTATATAAAGAAAATATATATTATTTTCAGTGTATTTTATTTAAGTTAAATTGTATTATTACTTAATTATTGTTTTAGGTTGAATTTTTATTCGTTTATCTTTTTTAAGATTTAAGATAAATCTTTTTTAGTGATAGAGTTTCTATCTCATCGGATTAAACCTAGTCATTCTAATATTTAAATTTTAATATCGTATTTATTTTACACTTTATATATTTAATATTTGAGAGTGTACTCTATTATACAGTTTTACACCTTACAAATTATTAAAATTTACATCTAAACTCTAAAAAGATTTGAAATTTTTTTAATATTTTAGTCAAACCCTAATGAATAATTATAAACTAGTTACAATATTTATTTTTCATTTTAAAACATGAGAAAGATGTAATTTTTATTTTTATGAAAAATATGTTTGGAAACATTTTAGAATTTGATCGTATGCATGAAAATAAAATATTTTTTTTATTTTTTTGTCTTTTAAAAGAGAATTAATTTAAAAATTTTGAGATTTTTTTAGAATTTTTTTTAGAAATATTTCAGAGAAAGCCGAGCATTTTAATACAGGTTTGTATCTTACAGTATAAATATACAACTCAATATTACACAAAATTAATAGAAAAACATGCAAGAAAATCATAAATTTTTTAAAGGGATTTTTTGGAATTTTTTGTTTTTTAAATATATCATATTAAATATTACAATATATATTATATTATATTATTACAAAACATAGGTTGTGTCAGCCCAGCTCAGTTAGCTGATCTTAGCCCAAAAAGGATTGGGCCAACCTCGGCCTAATAAGTAATGGGCTGATATCGACCCAAAAAGAATGGGGATGAAAAATTAAAATTAAAGGGAAACCATAATTTTTTTATTGGAGGTTTAAATTGAAAAAAAAATAACTTTAATACAAGAATAAAAAAATTAAAAGAATGATAATTAAATTAAAAAAAAAATATATTAGAAATTTAGATTGAATGATAAAATTGAAAGTCAATAAAACTCTTATAAAAGGTAGGGGAAAAATTAGAAATAAAAAGAATAAGGACCACATTGGAAAAAATAATATATAACAAATTAGGATTGAATGTTAAAATTGAAAACAAATAAAAGTTTTATTAAAAAAATTAAGTTTTTTTAAAAATGATTTCACTATTCACCAATCCAATCTTCTTTTTAATTTTATCTTATTTTTTTAATTTTCTATATATTAGATTATATATGGGTCTCATGGATTTAGCTTTTTTTTCTCTATTTCAATTTTTAAAATTAGATATATTAAAAGTAAAGTTTTATAATTTTTTTCAATTTGCTTTACATAATGTGCTTTATATTTTTTTTCTTTGTGTTATTTTTTAATTATTTTTTTATTTATTTTATATAGAGTTATATCGATATCTTAATTTAGATCACGAGTTTGACAAATTGACTAATATAGGTATTTTTTTCATTTTTTTTATGTTTAATTTTTTCAAGCTCTTCCCTCAATATTAGATTAATTAGAAATTTATATTCATAATTTATAATGATTTGTTTTTTATAACTTGTTAAAATCTTATACTCGAATTATAAATTTAACAAATTAACTCAGATCAATTAAATATATTATTATTGTAATAATTGAAAAAATATCATATAATATATCATTGTTAATATCCAATATATATCATATTTTATAAATCACATCAACAACATGGTTATTTTATTTATATTAAAAAATTGATCTGAATTACGGTGTATCACCGGCCATTTCGTTAGAAGGCTGACAATCATTGTCTTGGTACTAAAACAAGATGTTGGGAAAAGAAGAAAACGTAACAAGTGTTTGTGTGTTTGTGTTAGCGGCACTTGTTTTGATTAAAGTCTCAACTCTCTTGCACTATAGACACACACACACACATATATAGCTGTAAAAACAGAGAAATACTTCGGGGCTAAGAATTGGGATAGTCCTCATTAATCGCCTATTTTCCATGCTGTATTTGCCTAATTTTGGAGAACATGATGATGCAATTTTTTCTATTTTGGTTATGTGATTCTTCGCGTTTCTTTGATGGCTATAACAATGAGCAACCTGACTAGAAAACTAATTAGCAGGTGAGGACAGCTAAGGCAAGAACCTCGTTAATTAAAAGAATGATGATTAAATTTAAAAAAAAATTTATAAATTTGAATTGAATGATAAAATTAAAAGTTGATAAAACTCTTATAAAAGGGTAGGGAAAAAAATTAAAAATAAAAAGAATAAGGACCAAGTCGGAAAAAAATAATATATAACAAATTAGGATTGAATGTTAAAATTGAAAACAAATAAAGTTTTATAAAAAAAATTAAGTTTTTTTTAAAAATAATTTCACTATTCACCAATCCAATCTTCTTTTTAATTTATTTATTTTTAATTTTATATTTTAATATTAATTATTTTAAAAATTATGCTTCTTATTTTTTTTCTTTATATTAGATTATATATGGGTCTCGTGGGTTTAGCTTTTTTTCCTCAATTTTAATCTTTAAAATTAGATATATTAAAAGTAGAGCTTTATAATTTTTCTCAATTTACTTTATATAATGTACTTTATATTTTTTCTTTGTATTGTTTTTTAATTAATTTTTTTATTTATTTTATATGGGGTTGTCTCAATATCTTGATCTAAATTACGAGTTTGACAAGTTGACTAATATAGACTTTTTTTCATCCTTTTTTATGTTTAATTTTTTCAAACTCTTCCCTTAAATTTATCTGATTAACTTAGATCAATTTAATATATTAATATTCTAATAATTAAAAAATATCATATAATATATCATTATTCAAATTCAATAAATATCATATTTTATAAATCACATCAACAACACTTAGTTATTACAGTGTATCACCGGTCATTTCGTTAGAAGGCTAACAATCATTGTCTTGGCACTAAAACAAGATATTGGAAATAGAAGAAAACGTAACATGTTTTTGTGTGTTTGTGTTAGCAGCACTTAATTTGATTAAAGTCTCAACTCTCTTGCATTACACACACACACACACATATATATATATATATGAAGCTGTAAAAGCAGAGAACTACTTCGGGGCTAAGAATTGGGATAGTCCTCATTAATCGCCTATTTTCCATGCTGTATTTGCCTAATTTTGGAGAACATGATGATGCAATTTTTTCTATTTTGGTTATGTGATTCTTCGCGTCTCTTTGATGGCTATAACAATGAGCAACCCTGACTAGAAAACTAATTAACAGGTGAGGACAGCTAAGGCAAGAACCTGGTAGTTCAATAGGCATGCGTGTTCTTCTCTTCCGCGCGAGAAATTAATCTTAGTTTCACGCTCTCCTTTGCAACAAAAAGAAAACAGCTATGATATTGTAACCAAGAAGATGTTGCAGCCAACAAATTAGGTATCTCACTAAATTCTAGCTGGTTATGCCTGCCTTCTCAAAATTTCATTTTCATCAATCTCCTTAATTTGTTTTGGTTCTGAATTACAGGTCTTGAAAAACTTGGCATCGCCATGGCTGAATCTGGATATTTAGTAAATCGTACCAAGGATGGTTCGGAAGCATGTTACTACGTAAATCAAACTGGTGGCAATTATTTCCAAAGTACAGGTGCTTTGACGACATCCCTCCCTCTCTTTGTCCTCCAACTATCGGTTGTCCTGTTCACCACTCGCCTTCTCCTCTTGATCCTCAGGCCTCTGCGACAACCCAGCATAGTTGCTTTTATAATTGTAAGGTCAAACTTGTTATATAATTGCTGTTTCATGGTTCATTTTGTAGGCCAATTACTAATGTTGATTGCTCTTTTATACTTCTTCATGCTAATACAATGATTCGTAAATATATAGATCAAAACTTATGGAAAAACAATGTTTTAATTTTAACTAATTAAAAGGACTTGTACTACATTTACCAAATGGAAAAACAATGTTTTAATTTTAACTAAAAGGACTTGTACTACATTTACTATAAGTTTTTATTTTTTTCTTGTGCATTTCATCGAATTTGAGTCGTGATACCTTGGAAGCAACTAGGCTAAACCTCCAAGTATGTGGGAAGAACTATGATGTGTGTAGCCAAGCAACGGAAATAACTTTCATCTAATTATCGAATAAAGTTAAGAAATTTCCATGAGATCTTAGATGTTTTGTTTACTATAAAGTTAATTTTTTGTAATCATTTGAGGTCTATGAGACTTTTAAACTTGGTTAGTATATAAAATTTGTTCTGTTTTTATAATTGATTTACGATTGTTTTTTTTTTATTTATTTTAAATCTCTCTTATTGTTTTTTATGTTTTATTTTAGATTTTAGATTTTTTTTATTCTTATTATTTAAGCATATTAGGAGAGTTGTAATATTCAATTTTGTTTATTGAAAATAAACTTATGATGAAAAATATTCAATTTTGTTTATTGAAAATAAACTTTAGAGTATTCTCTATTATGATGAAAAAAGTGTAGGTTTAGGGTTTCTCAAGCTCTTTTCATATAGCCTCTCTTATGATCTTAATTTATTGTTTTTTCTTTGTACTATGTTTTTTAAGTAAAGCAAAAAAAAAGTATTAAATAAAACAAAGAAAATAATAAAGAAACTCTAAACTAAATATATAGAAAAAAAATCCTAAATTAACTAGAAAAATATAACAAATCTAAAGCAGAAAATTTTAAACTTTATTTGGGACGTTGACCTTATATAGGAAATAGAATTTTTTTAAAAAAATTAGTCTGATTTTAATAATTGAATCAAAAGTTATATTCATTACTTTAAATCCATGTGTTTAACAAAAATTTCTCTTGTATCAAACAATTAACACATGCATGCATTTGTAGTATAGTGTTCTTTTCCAT